GAGTATAGAGGATGAATGGCTATAACTGATCTGAATCAACACTAACAACACTAACACACCCTCCTCCTCCCTCCCGTCTCCCCAAACCTCAATAGAGACCAGCTTGCTTCCCCCGTCACTATGACAACCTCTGTGGATCACCATGCAGCAGTTTGCCTCCAAATGGTGACTGATGGAGCTGGATCAGGACTGGATACTTAAACATCAGAGTGCAGCGATGATAGTCATGTATCTAAAAACTGAGTACTTTTTGGCAGTAACTCAGGAACAAAGTTAGATTTACAATTATGGCAGAGAGGTCGTCCAGACAATGGTCCAGAGCTGGGGTTGAGGACCATACTAATAACAAAGATACATTTTATTTTAGACTCACTTTCCTAGATGTTGGAGTCGGCCACTGATTTCTGTTTGTCATGGTGTCTCTATGTAACCACCTGTCATTACAGCCTAAATATGTATAACTGAAATATGAGTAATACAAAAAATACAAAACAATTATGGTATGAGAAATAGTACAAACCATCATCACAGTACAGCTCATCAGTTGAAAAACACCATAGTATGTATGTATACTTTGGTGTTTTTCAATTGAAAAACTGTATTTTTAAGTTAGAACTACATTTATGTAATAGCACAAATTAGTTAAAATAGAAGTGCAACTGATTTTCTGTTCTCTTAATTTAGGTTAAGTATTAAAAACTGGGAAAAATATGACAACATGCAAAGACTTGTATTTGTATGAGTATCTTACACTTGTGTATGATACTTGTCAAAGATTTCTCTTAATCACTTATTAGTCCAGTCACAATCAATAAAGACCAAATTGTGAACTGAAAGAGTGAAAGTGCATTGTTTATTATTTACATTTCTGCATGTATTAAAGCTTAAGTGCTCAGCAGCAGCAGATCCATCCTTGACCCTAACATCGATTGATTTTTCAAAAAGTAGTGAAATCTTTTCATAGCATTAATATATGTAGATGTTGACAGGTGTATCATATTTGATGTTTTTTGCTTTCCAGCAGACACAGACAGCACTGTAAAATCCAGTCATGGTGATGCTCCTTAATACTCAATCTGCTTTCAACATGACAAAACACAGCCCCCAGCATCATGTTGACAACATGATGCTTTCACTCTTGCTGGGTCTGTCTAGCTCACTGACATCAGTGTCAGGTTCAGGCACACCCACAGGTGCACAGTGTCTCACACACACACACACCAAACTCCAGCGCAAAGGGTGTGTAGGACGGAGGGCATAGAAAGGCGTGACCCATGAGAGCTGATATTAGAGCAGAGGAGAGGAGAGGGGAGACATGAAAAGTGTCTGTGTTTATGACCACAAATGGAAAGAGTTGACACCAGCTGTCACTTGCTTATGTCAGCTCTATTCTCAGAGTGTGTGTGTCGTGTGCCTGTGTATGTGTCACTGTGTGATCTCAACTGGCCATGACTGGTTTCAATTACGCAACAAACTTTGACCCTGTGTAACCATGCAAGGAGAGGAGCAACTGACAGTAAGAGTGAATGAGAGAGGTACAAAGATGCTGAGATAAACAGTCATGTGGTCCAAAGTCCAAGCTCAAACCCAGACGGAACAGACAGTACACCAAATGTCAGACACCAAAATGAAAAACAACTGATGTGGAATTACCCTTTTTCTTCCTTGGCCTCGTTCTTCATCCTTCTGAGGCCGCCCTGCTCCTGCCCCACTTCCTGAACGTCCCTGCCTCCCCGTTTTGCCCTCTCCAACAGGAGGTCGGATGGTCATCCTGATCTCCGGTGGGCAAATATAGTTCTCAAGATTCTTAGGGGGCTTCTTGGTGCGTTTAGTGGTCTGGATCTTTAACTTTAGACTTCCTTCCTGGAAACTTGCTTCCTTGATGGAAAACTCCTGTTCCTCCAGAAGCCCCTCCCCTTGCTCCTCAAGCCCCTCCCCTTCACTGAGGCCGCTGGTTATCACATCATCACTGCACACCAAACCGATGTCTCGTGCTCCTTCCTGGTCCTCCTCATTTGGCCCCACCCTGCCTCCCTGTAACTCCACCTCTTTGGGTTGGGCCGTGCCAACCAGATCCCTAGACTCCATCCACACTCCAGCCAGAGCCAGTCCGGATGGGGGGAAGCTGTGGCAGCCAGCCAAAAGGATGCAAGAGAACAGTGGTCTGTCCGACTGTTTGGGTGATATAAATCAGCTACTGAGGTTGGGTTGGTTGTCCCACAGGAACGCAACGAAGCCAGGGACTGTCTGCAGAAAAAGGAAATAATACCATAAGAGAAAGATGGGCAACAAAAGGTGATCATTACAGACAATAGAACGGGTACCACTCAACTCTATATGGACCTGACTGTTTTTGCCATACAAAATGGAACGCTATGGAAATAATTGTGGTAATAATAAGCGGGAAGGTGTGGGCACCAGATAGCCACCAGGCTTCCCTGAAAAACTGTCCGAGGCCGTCTCCTTAAGACAAATCAGCAAAAAACTGTTTGTTCAAGACTAGAATTGGAGTCAAACATTAATATTGGGCAGAACAAACCAGACAGACGCAGCAAATGTTCAGGATCAGACTAAACGCTCATCTTCATTTTCAAGAGCTCCATCCACCGAAACAGTTTTAACAGTCAATATTCACCTCTGCTGTTCCCATCTGATATTTAACTGATGGAATCCCATGAAGAAAGACATGCTCGTTGTTTTAAAGTCTCTTTTTTTCTTCAACTTAAACAGTGCCAGCCGCATTTTCAAACTTCTCTGCAATTGAGACTCAGACGTTTAGAGTTTCGAGACATATTTGGAGCAGAATTTGTTTCATACCAAAATTGGAAGGAATGTTTCAGTTCGTACTCTGCCTCGACAAAATTTCTGCAGACACAACAAAACTCACTTTACTTTTTCTCTAATTTGTTGTCTACACAGTCTCTGCTAATGCTTTCTATATATTTCCCCTCACCTCTATTAAACTTTTTAAAAAATGTTAGTAAATTAAACTCAGATTAGGGAGTCAACACTAGGGCATCAATGCAATCCTATATATACGTTCAGTCAGACCAAACTGTCCAGAGTGCTGGGACATAGTCTACTATTCACTTTTTAGGCCTGGACCTTGATGCAGTTACAGAACCATGGTTGCAATACAAATTATTTTTCTCCTGGAGACTGGTGCTAAACAGATAGCGCCATAACAGGTCAAGCACTCTTTATCAATACAACAAAATAACAATATTGGAAAATTACATTTTTGTTTTAATTTTTTTTTAAATTGAATGTGATAAGAGTACAGATGTTTGAAATGGAGAAAGAGATGAAAAAAGAAGTAAGGTAGAAGCAGAAAAGTTCCAGTGAGCCTAGTTAAGCTGTTGTTGGTGGGGTGCAGACAGAAAGCGGGACAGACAGGGCTTGAATTACATTTTTTGGTAAAGGTGCACTGGTGCACATAAAACAAATTACTTGCACCAAACACAAATTGCTTGCACCAGGCAAAAAACAAAATTTACTTTTGTTGTGGTAAACTTGCTATGATTTTGTGGGGCCAAATAAATTCACAAAAACAAAGACATTCTACATGTAAAAATGTTAATGACAAATTTTGTTATAGGTATTTAAACAACAGTGGCGCTTTGGCCCAGAGGCAATGTCTCTGTCATTGGTGTGAAACCCCAGGGTTCACCTCCTGGGCAAGTTCGAATCCCGGTTAGGGCAGTTGGTACCTTCCAGTGGACTCAGTGGTGGTGGACTCACCACCCGCTGGGGGGTGGACTCACCACCCGCTGGGGGGTTGGTACGGTGCAATGTGATTTGGGTGATGACTGGTGCCCCCGCGACCCGGTAATGGATAAGTGCATGAAAATGGATGGTTGGATGGATGGTATTTAAACAACTTCAGCCATGGGCCAAACATGACAATGTATCGCTTTACTACAATTCCCAACGCAGCATGCCCCACCAGATCACGTGCACGCTGTAATTGATAACAGTACATCCGAAAGCAGCGCCTCGAAAAAAAGACCGGTTTACATTTCGTGCCGCCCCGCCCCGAACTTTCTCGGACAGCGGTGGATTCTGGAACGCCTGGAATTCTCGAAGGTCTCCGACTTTCGGCAACCTCCATGCTTTTACCATATTTGAGGTACCGAACACATGATTTGTGTCACATGATTATCAGCAAATTATCGAGGGGAGAGCAACTTGTTTCCAGGGGAAGTTACGTAATACAAGGAAGTGAAAATAAACATAACCCCCGCTCTGCATCGGCGGACTCTGGGTTACCAAGGACGTTTAATACTTAACAAGGAAGAAAAAGATAACACACTGGGAATTTGTTTTCCCAATTTTATTTATTTTCAGCTCTTTATTGGATAATTCTACCGGTGGTACCAGTAGAAAAAGCTACTTGCACTGGTGCAAGTTGGGTACCAAATTACATTCACTGCCCCAATTTTACGTGCACAAACTGGTGCATGCACGTGGTAATTTGAGCCCTGGGGACAGATAATGTGCTGCAGCAACAACTATTTCAGAATTTATGGCTGTCAGGAGTTGGACAAACTCTACTTTAGTCAATAAATCAATTCTCTTCCCACAGTTTTAAACTGACACAGAGACTGCTGTTCAATTACAATATATGTAATAGTTTTACTTGGTTTACTTTTAGCTACATATAATTGTACTTAATAGAGCATGTTAAACTACTGAGTGACACATTTGAAACCAAGTTGTATAGATACACAGAAAGTGTTCTGTGGAAAAATAATAAATCCCTCTTATTTTCCCTGAACCAGAGTTTTAACCAGAGTTGAGAAGAAGGGAAGAAATCACATGAGAGGAAAAGGGGGGAAGGCAGTAGAGAAAGAATCTAAATTCATTCCCCAGATGTGGTTTACGAGCTGGTCGGGCGAAACCAGTGTCTGAACTGTTCTACACACGCATGCAGTGGCACAGCTACATCTGCACATCAAAAAACTCTGCACATAACGACACACACAAACACATCTACACACCATGTAGAGACCATATTGGTATGGCAGACTACACTACAGAGTCCTTCTGGGTCTGTAGAGTTAAATCCTGCAGCAGCCATTCCTCTAAGAATTCACAACTCCATTTTTTGGACAATTACCCATGCAGATGATGCAGACCCAAACGCAAATTACACACCCATCCAAATTCACATACACGTATATGCACTCAGTCACAGGTGTAAAAACAGAGGGCAACCAAAACAAACATTGGACTACACCTCTCACTACGGCTCCAGGAAATCCCAGTCAATATGACATGAGGCATGACTGAGCTGGAAGTGGGGAATGCTGTCTCACACACTAGGCTCAGACTGACACCACTTACACTGATGTGAACCCAGGCTACCTGTGGACATTTTTGCACTGAAGGCTTACTCCAGACTGTAGACGCACAGTGACCTGAGTGAACAAAAAGGCTTTAAGGCAAACACTGAACACTTAGGCACTTTAGATTATCTATGTGTGTGCATGAGTGTGTAAATGCTACTGTACCAGCAGCTGATGCCAATCATAATACCCACCAGGCCTCACAGCACATGTCAGTGTGATTGAACAATCATATTCCACAAAAGTGCTTCAACAAACTTCTCTGTGTACATCCTGCATACAATCACCATTAAAACACAGAGGTCAGAGTCAATATTTTCTTTGTATGGATTAAGTAAAAATAAAAAAGCTGGGTTCTAAAAACCACAGAATGACTTTAAACATAAGAAACTATTAATCCATAGCTAAAGGACTCCCCATTCACACCTCTAACCTTGTGACTTTACATTCCACCCTCCTTAGAACAGGGTGTGTTTCACCACACATCCATCCACCTTTCTGCTACGACCCTCGTTATGGGTATGCAGCCTCTTTGATGCTAAATACCAGAACTTCCCAGTAGTCAGACAGAACTGAAGAAGCATCTTGGATGAGTGGTGAAACGTCTTCAAAAAAAAAAAAAAATACTTCGTCCAGTTGCCCTCAATGTAACTATTTTTGCTTTAAACATAAGGTTTTTCGAAGAGGAAGTGGTATTCTATGGTCCTGAGAAAAAAGGCTAAAAGCACCACAGATGTAGTTGTGTTTATCTTTAGTGTTTATATTGGCCAGCATTTTCCAAAACACACAAATACATTTCTGGATTAAATTTCCTGTCTCTCTTACACTGTGTTTTTGTCAGTGAATAATTCACCAGGTGAGTATATAATAAAAGTGGTATAAAAGTCTTACAGAATTGAAGCTACTTGTGGCAAGCAATTCATCCAGAAAAAAAAAGAACTTCTGTTTCATCACTGCATTTATTGCATTTCTTAGAAGAGGCTTCTTTCAAAAATCTTCCAAGAAGTAATTTATTTAATGCTAAATCAGGCCCATTATTCTTTTTCATATTTTCATTTTCATTTTCAAGAAGGAGTCCTACCGAGCCTGGTTGGTTCGTAGGACTCCTGAAGCAGCCGAGAAATACAGACAGGCCAAGCGGACTGCGGCTCGGGCAGTCGAGGAAGCAAAAACTCGAGTCTGGGAAAAGTACCGGTCGACCTCGAAAAATTTCTGGCAAACCATCCGGCGCCTCAGGAAGGGGAAGCAGCTACAGCATCGCGTGGCAGTTGGGGACAGTACCTCTGGACTGGCAGACCGGGGTGGTGGTACCTCTTTTCAAAAAAGGGGACCGGAGGGTGTGTTCCAACTATCAGGGGATCACACTCCTCAGCCTCCCGGGAAAAGTCTATTCCAGAGTACTGGAGAGGAAAATCCGGCCGATAGTCGAACCTCGGATTCAAGAGGAACAATGCGGTTTTCGTCCTGGTCGTGGAACACTGGACCAGCTCTATACCCTTCAGAGGGTGCTTGAGGGTTCATGGGAGTTTGCCCAACCGGTCCACATGTGTTTTGTGGACTTGGAAAAGGCTTTCGATCGTGTCCCTCGTGGTATCCTGTGGGGGGTGCTTCGAGAGTATGGGGTTGGGGGCCCTCTTTTAAGGGCTGTCCAGTCCCTGTACGATCGGAGTAGGAGCTTGGTTCGCATTGCCGGCAGTAAGTCGGACCTGTTCCCGGTGCATGTGGGACTACGGCAGGGCTGCCCTTTGTCACCGGTTCTGTTCATTATTTTCATGGACAGAATTTCTAGGCGCAGCCAGGTGTCGGGTGGGGTCCAGTTCGGTAGCCACCGGATTTCATCTCTGCTTTTTGCAGATGATGTGGTGTTGTTGGCTTCTTCGAACCAGGACCTGCAGCATGCACTGGGGCGGTTTGCAGTAGAGTGTAACGCAGCTGGGATGAAAATTAGCACCTCTAAGTCCGAGGCCATGGTTCTCGACCGGAAAAAGGTGGTATGCACCCTTCGGGTCGGGGATGAAGTCCTGCCTCAGGTGGAGGAGTTCAAATATCTGGGGGTCTTGTTCACGAGTGACGGTAGAATCGAGCGTGAGATTGACAGGCGGATCGGTGCTGCGGCCGCAGTAATGCGGTCGCTGTATCGGTCCGTTGTGGTGAAGAAGGAGCTGAGCCGAAAAGCGAAGCTCTCAATTTACCGGTCAATCTACGTTCCTACCCTCACCTATGGTCATGAGTTGTGGGTCATGACCGAAAGAACGAGATCAAGGATTCAAGCGGCTGAAATGAGCTTTCTCCGCAGGGTGGCAGAGCGCTCCCTTAGAGATAGGGTGAGGAGCTCTGTCACGCGGGAGGAGCTCGAAGTAGAGCCGCTGCTCCTCCACATCGAGAGGAGTCAGCTGAGGTGGCTTGGGCATTTACATCGCATGCCCCCCGGACGCCTCCCTCGGGAGGTGCTCGGGTGCCGTCCCTCTGGGAAGAGACCTAGGGGAAGACCTAGGACACGCTGGAGCGACTACGTCGCTCGGCTGGCCTGGGAACGCCTTGGGGTCCCCCCAGAAGAGCTAGAGGAAGTGTCGAGGGAGAGGGAAGTCTGGGTGTCCCTGCTCAGACTGTTGCCCCCGCGACCCGGCCCCGGATAAGCGGTTGAAAATTATAAAAGAAACGTTCTTTGTAGGACAACTATGTTCCTGTGTAAATGCTTATGTTGGCTGTTGAATGCAGACGGGATATGAAGCATTACCTGGTCATTTCACTTAGGATACAAAACAGCAAAGGTTGTACTGACATCCATGTAAGTACATTTACACAAACGTACAAAAAACAAATTATGGTATTAGTCTGCCTGAAACTAGACATTTAGAATACATGCACAAATTCCACTGTCAAACTAAAGTGATATTGTGACTCTCTCTCTCTCTCTCTGTATATATATATATATATATA